GGCACCCTGGTGTGCGTTTGTAATGTAGACAGACCAGCTGTCCTATATGAACGGTGTCTCCTTTCGCAAACCTCGATCATTGTTCGGTGCAAAAAAATTAGTCATAATTTGCCCTTGAAATTAACCATTGTGGTAATTCACCACTATGACTGACGGTATTGATTCTATCGCCATCGATATGGTCCAATCCATCGTATAGTGGGATGAACTAGATGGTTTTCAGCTCCCATTTCTATCGCAGCATCCGTTACGAGCACACACAGCATGTTTGTAGTCAATTAGTAGCAAATAAGCCAACCAGTAAAAGCCGTCGCCTAACTCTCCATGTGTCCTTTTATATATGGCATTTTGTAGACGGTCAAAGGTAAAACGACGATAACCCTTCAGATACTCAGATTTTTCGGTGTTGAGTTCTTTCCACGTTCGCAGCCGATACAGCCGATATTACTTTGGTACTCCTTTATTAGCATATTCTAGTTATGTTGATTTTCCCATACCAGTGTCCTGCAATGTCCAGCATGCCGGTTGTTCGAAAGCTTGTTTTTCTGTTGTTCAGCCCTTGGCATACATTGTTAATGCAGGCCTAACTATGTCTCTAATAGGAATATGGCTTTAGCGACAGATTTGAACAGACGCCTTCAAACAGAACCTTGAAATGATTGAATAATTAGTTTTTTAACATTGCACTACTACGCACCAATTTACAGTACGTATTTACGTTTAAATATGTTGATTCTTTTTAACAACATCGACAGAATCAGCAGTTGCATATCACGATATCTCCGAACGCAAGCAACAACTACCGCTTAACTTCTTCTTACCGTTTAGCTTTTTAATCACGTTTTTTTTTCCGTAGGAGCCCGTCTACTGGGCAGTCGAGGCACACCGGCCACTAAAGCTGGCTGTTCACAGCACTGAAGATTCGTCTGATCACTGCCGAAGCTCGCAGTAGCTTAAAGACGTCGCCGGCTAAATAGTAAGTAAAAACGTTCGATCTCGATTACCCTGTCGCGTGTCAAGCAAGCAACTATGCCATCGCTCAAGAACTAACAAAATCTTCTTTCGGATCGGTTGTAAGCTGATTGTTTAAATATTACTTCGATTTTCGGACTCGGTTGGAGTCGTCGTTTCTATATCACTTCATATACCTGAGTGACCGTGCAATTTATTTTGAATAACGCATTTTCGGTGATTTAAAAAAAACCGCCACGCACAATTTTTCTAAGTACGTTTTAGATTTAGCGGGCTTCGCTAACATTGATGGACGTTTAGGTCAGTTATGACATCTTCATACGTAACCATATTTTCATAAACGACAACCGTTTGTTACGAACGAGAACGAGCTACATAAGAATAAGCATAGGGTTCGTAATGGTAATCACTCGCGTTGGATAAGAATTTTGGTCTGCTGTTTCAGTAGTTTCAACAACAGATAAGCATACATTACATCGCAGTATATGTTTGCCTGAATTCACTAATTCCTAAATCTCGATCGGAATTCTATTCTGGAGGCATTAGTGTAGGCAATGAAGGTCGGTTTACATTATGCCCTGGCAGTTAGCATCGTGGGAGCGCCACTCCTTGTTGATCCGAATCAAAATTCGTAAACAGACAGAAAGTGTTATAGCTTATATTGTTCTTACCTACGTAATTGATAAGGAATGGTATTTTTTTTTATAGCTAATAAAGGGATCGGGCATAACTGACGCTAACTATAAAAGGTCATGTTTACCAATACCCTACCACATTCTTTAACACCATTCCATGCGGTCTATACGTTTTGCAGAAATATTATGGTTACGTTCGCGAACGTATCGCGTAACAGATAACATTCAGTAAAAAAAAATCTTATAGATACTTTTCATTTACAGAAATCTCTGAGTTTTGACATTTTAGGTTAATCTTGCTCCGTCATACGACGGATCATTGGCATCGAAATACGTAGTAGCGGTCTGGATAGATTCGTCGCTTTAGATGTACTTATATTCAATTGCATTACTCTAGCAATATACTACGGGAACCCTTTTTGTATACAAGCAGAATGTTCTGCGATGAAAAGCGTCTTAGATGCGTGATTTCCTAGCAAGTTTTGCTGAATTGACAACACAGTATACACGGGCGACCTGTCAGCTGGCAAGCCCTTAGCGCATCAAAAAAAAAACAACACTGCGGTTTCACTCCTGTTGATCTTTAACGTTCAAGATAGTCGCATCGAATTGCACCAGGTTTAATAATTAAAAAAAAAAATGCACCGTACTACTTAAGTATATTGCAGCAGCTTAAAAAGTAAAAGATTGAATCAGGCTGGGCAAGATCTGAGAGAAATCGAAACGATTTAAATTCAATATAAATAAGATTTACACCCGCTATTAGGAAAAGTGGTATTAGTAGTACCATTATAACGAGGATAATTTTGTAATTCGAAATCTGCGTCTCTTTTCTCACACTGCTCTAGCATTGTATTTCTAAGATCTAGGAAGCCTGATGCACCAAACAATCAGGCCAACTACTAATAGATAATCAGAACCTGTCTCACGAAACACCGGTACTTTGTATTTGTTAAAAAAGCGTCGAAACAGATAAACCGCTTGTGGCAGCTCGATACAAAACCTGAAACAGGCGCTTAAGAATTGGTCAGGGCGAAATCTCCCAATATTTCGACATCTATACATGGAAAGGTAAATTCAGTTCTTATTTTAAAAATAGCTAGGGATTAAGCTTCTGAAAGGCAAGCGACTTTATAGAAGCTGAAGGATTACGTAACTTAATTTCACTGAAGGAAGACAATTATACGTACTTCAGGTCAGCAGACATTCTGTTCGCGCCGAATGAGACAATACATATTTACCTAACAATGCAGTTTTAGCTATACAAGGTCCCTATTAGGAGAGCATACACGAATTACCCCCTAGACGGTGAAGACAATAGGCTTAGCGTTGTCGAACAGCAATAATCTGCATCTTGAAAAATTCTTATGCTAGCAAAATCGCGTGAAGATTACGATGGGGTAACACTCAAAGCGTAGGATTTCATTCGGCACGACGTGCACAGATTTATGAGGCTTTTGAGCAAAGATTATGAACGAAATTAGCCATATAAATAAATTCGCTTCATGAAAACCTATCCATAGACATGTTCATGCGCGGGTTCGCGGTTGCGCAAGAGTGACTTAATTACCAGCTCAATCAATTGCCCCTACTTTTTTTTTTCTCTAGTTTATCATTTAATATCGACTAAATAAAGCTCTTAAAAACGTACCAAAAGGTCCCATTCTGCAAAATTCATCACGCTTGCGCAACGCCATAACCATAGTTGAACATCTGCTAGCTTCGAAATAATAAAACATTAAATTGCGTCGCAATTATAACCATTACATATCCTCCTTATACGACTTTCTCGCCTTGTTTGATAATTGATTTAACACTGTATTATCTATAATAACCAACAAGTGGGGCACTGGCATGTTTATCTAGGAAGAACAGATATAGAAGCAATAACAAATTTGCCGCCCGATCTTTTTCTTTCACCTAATAACGAGCTATATTTTCAGGACGTACCTACAAGGGCAGTCCGTCTTTGCCCGCCCTTGCACGGCAGTACGGCGCTAACTGAAAGGTCGAAGCCTAAGTGACAGCGACTGCGAAGGATGGTAGCCAGTGCAGACATTGACGTTACTAAAACAACATGTATCCCATGAGTGCAACGACCCTTAACAACAGACCTAGCCTCTGTTAACGTTACTGCTATGTTTGCTGGAACTGGCCTCGAAATTGATTTCCGAATTGATATTTGCATCCGAGCTGACCAAGCTTTATGTGTGGCGGACGACATATTTCAGATTAGCGGTTACACCCCTCACGCACCACAAATTCGACATGGTATGGGGTATGGGGTTACATGGCCGCGACGGGCCAATCGGCGTGCCCAGTGCCAAACGATGTCATTATCCTTTGTCGTTAATTACAATGCAAATAGAGTGTAAGACATTTCATTCTTCAAGGCTTACCGATTTAGTAGTAAAGGCTGTATTGATCAAGGCCAAAATGAACGGGCCTTGATTTGTCAAAACGATACAAATGTAAATAACAAAACAATGCCATTTATTCCATTAGCGATAGACGACTTGTTACGCAGAACAATGGCCGGATGCAGCCGCAGACCATAAATCCACCCGTAAGCTATTCGAAGGGTCGCCAGTCGTAAGGTAGACTATCCTTGGCCCTTGTCAAATCAACAGGTCCGCATAGTGAGATCGTTCTTTTTTTGACACAAAATGACTTCTAAGATGCGTTGATCATCAACATTGACATACGATACCGTCAATACAGCGAATGCGGTTTCCTTAAAACGTATCTTTTTCCGTTCGTTTTGCGATAAGCCACCAGTTTCTATTTATACTAAGTCATCAGATGATACTCATATCCTAAGGACATATACCATTCATTCTATTGTTGTTCTTACTTAAGTAGTTGGGCAAATTTAATCTGCCACGTAATTCAAGCACGGTCAAATCAAGATGCGTCTTTTACGTACACAACAGACACGAGGCAAGGCACTTAGTTATGGTTTCTTTTTTATAGGAACGCTTCAACATTAAATTGGGTGTGGTCGGCGTCATGTAGGAATTAATGTGCGCCATCGCCGCGATAGGACAACGATATATAACTTTCATTGACGCCCTTTTATACATGCGGTTCTGTGATATTGTCGCTGCCATACGGCACTAATTATATACAATGTGGGATGATCTAGCGCGAATATGGGGAACATATCGAAGTGGCCACTGACTGTATAATACGCTTAAGGCTCAAAAGTGTGCTTCTGTGGCGCAATAAAGTCGGATGTTGTCTACGGCTATGTAAAAGCTACGGGTATTTTGCATTAGTTGGTGACTAACTTCAATTATCTCCGCCCTGTCACAGCATATATCGAGCAGACAGTGACGATGTGTATAACAGAACAAAAATATAGAACGGAATTGTATTTAATTAGTAACTCACGTAGTTCGTGAACGCCGGGGTTGTTGGAAAATTCGATAACGGTCAATGGCCACCCCTTCAGCGACCGGTAGTTCAGCTCGTAAAGCAGTGTTATCGAGGGGCATTCACTCTGAATACGTTCGAGCTTTTTGTTCAGTTCATAATTGTTATGGTGCTTAAACTCGAATTCACGAGGGACAATTGCGACAGTTTGGCCTAACGCGATCAGCCGCGCCAGGGCAAACGCTACTGGCAAAAATGACATCGCTTTCGAACCGTTGGTTTTTGTTTCTGCTCTTGTCTTCTTTGTTACAACACGAGTATATCAAATAAATCCTTGCATAAGCAGACGTTTGTAATTATGTTAGTACGGTAACGGTAACGGTAATGGTACTCGTGCCGCTACAGCAGGAAACGATCTCGAGTTGGCGGCCGAATATATATATCTTCCTTGTACACTGGTTTATATACAACACTTGACAAACACTGTGACACCGGGCTGTACGGCGCGACTCGGCGCAACGTTTCTTGAAAGCTGTTACACTTCACGGCAGGAGAATACCGGCTTTTCATCGGACTCTCACCAACCTTCACAGACCTATTTCAAATGCCACTGACGTAGCTAGACCAGCTGAAAGGCGTAATTGGTTTTCAGCCGCGAATTGCTCGCTGGTCGTTTCTGGGCGCAGATTTCTATCCTCCTCCCCGTACGCGTCTGCCATACAAAATTCTGTCTGTGAAGACGCAAACCACAAACAGTGCCACCTGTATCACCCCGTTTATTAACGCACTCTCTGCAGCTCGTAGCAGTTTTCTAACCGAATGTCAACGTACCCAAGGTACGTAGTTTGTCACGTCCATTGATACAGTGACAGCGATGTACCGCATGTGTGATCGTGTCTGGTGCCGATGCTAAATGGTAGCGCCGCCGTCCCGCCGCTGCTGATTCCAGATGTCAACGGGCCAACCGGAGCTCACCGTATGCGTGTGCGCGATACGGGACTGCGAAGGAAGGCAGCGCAACGGCGGATGACGTCAGTCGGTCCTCTGCTCCTGCGCTACGTTGCTACAGCTGCGTTTAGTGAAAGCTGTGAGCGCCGCTGGCAACAGCTGCACTGAGACGGTGATCGAGTGCGCGAAGTGTCAAAAGTGCAAGCCCCCTTTCGCTTGCTATTCGGCACGAAAGAGACAAATGGAGAAAGAAGCTGACAGCCAACCGTTGTTCATGATCGAACTGACTCAAACGGTAGTGACCGATAGTCAGTAGATAACCAACAATAGCTCCGATTGTCACCGCGTGTGGGTATCTGGCACACGATACAGATGGACGGTCAATGGCAGAGGATGACCCCAGCAAGTGGCAGAGAAAGGGACACAGATGTCAAGAAGTCGTCGTTGCCTCTGCAAATTCGTTTTACTGCTGTCGCCTTTGCCGCTAATTTTCGATCAGTTGGCTGGTAGTTTAGGGACAGAGAACGACTGTCTACTACCATATATAACCACGAGCCAATGGGTAACTAGAGGCGGCTGGCGTATTTCAGCAAACGACAACTGTGTCCTCGTCCCTGTCGCCGTGTGCCACTGTCCCAGGAACAGAGCTGCAGGAGATGTCAGTTGATGACGACACAGGAACTGCTGCCGCTGCTGCGGCGGCGGCGGCGGCGGCTGGTTATGACGACAACGACCGCAGCAGCGACGGCGGCGCCTTTTGTTGTTATTATTATTAGAACAAGCAGCACTAGCACTGGCGCGCGCAACCTCAAAAAGTACAACTCTATCGGGGGAGAGCGTGTTACACCATCAACCGAACAATCAACCGATCACAATAAACCAGACCGCAGCACAACAGACCAGACTAACCCCTCACAGCACAGCAGCAGCAGCAGCTGGCTGCTCTTAATCAGCCAAGGAGCAGCTGAACACGGATCGATGCAAGTAGGATACACTCTATAGCCACAGACACTGGCGGCCTTCGCTCTCACCCTTTCTTTCCTTTTCTATCCTTCTTTCTTTTTGCACTTTTATATTTCTCTATGATTGTGTCTCGTGCGCGCGACTTGATGCTTCTTGCCTTGTTAAATTCGTTCAACCATCATGGTACAGCGGCACGACGGGGGGAGGAGCGGCTCGCCAACCAAAGCCCCTTTCGTTGCCCTTGCCCTTTGCCCCTCGCGCTCTTTAAACGGGTCCGCCGCCGGGGAAAGGCTATGTGCTGCTCTGGATGCCAAACGGATGAAGCTGTCCGATTTTGGTGCTCACTGGCCGCACCTTAACCACAAGCCCGCAATCAGCTCCCACAACAGTTCGGCGTTACGTGCCGTCGTGCTGGCACAATATAAATGCAGTGCAATGAGTGTTTCGCTTGTGTAAAAGTAGAAGCTGATGGTTGTGTAGCGCCAGATAGTGGACTGAGCGCGGAAGGCGCTGGGCGCGCAGAATTTTTTATCGTCGCTGTCTGTATAGAGCCGGCCCCAAGGAACCGAAAGGCCGCGCCATGGCGGCCGTTGAGAGAGAATAGACGGGAAAGGGGCCTAAAGCAACACAACTTTAAGGCCCTTTCCCGGCGGAAAATCCGCGCGATGAATGCAACACCGGCAGCAGCAGTAGCACAGCTTCGGAACAAACTGACTGCGAGAAAATACCCATCCATAAACAGCACAACAGGAACAAGCAAGAAACATTAGTTGACTGATCCAAAAAGATCTCCTATTCCTTTAGGCGTCACACTGTCGTGGTTGACTTCGTCACTGTTCTTCGTAGGAACCTCGTCGATGCGACAAGGGGATAAAGTCGAGATATAGGTTCAGGTGGCGTTTCTGAAAATACATTAAAATACACGCTGTGACTGGAGATAAGGAAAATTATTTGATTTCTAAAAAAACGACGCCTTAGAAACAGGCTAGCTGGAAACGAATTCTAATGGAAATAAAAATGTTATTTAGTACTGAAATCTATCCTTATTTTAATTAGCCAGTCATGTTTACTTCGAGACAAGCGAAGAGTAAAATTATGCCACTTAATAAATAACCGATATAAAGACAAAGCAGGAATAAGCGAATAAATACGATTTTAGCACGTAGTATAAACAAGATACACCGGCATTAGCAACGACGACACTTAGCTAGCAATCACGATGTGTAGATATGGCAGAAGCACGCGAGAAAAACATCACCACCGCGAAGGCAACATTTTCAATCATTGCCTTTGCATTACCTATGCTGGAAATGGAGATTTTCTCCGGAACCTTGTACTAAAAGGGTTTGTCGTAAGGATCTACCGGGGGATCAACTGCAGCACGAACTTCTATCACAGTGGTTCCTTTTGTGAAGCGTTCCCTAGCCCAGTTTTCATTCAGCGCAAACTCATCGAAGACAGCTGATTATTAATAGCGCGTGACTGTGTACCCAACTAACTTGATAGAATGATCTTCAAATTGCTTTAATGCAAAGTATTTTTTATTGGCGCTGAAAACCAATATGGTTAACCCAGTTAAACGGACATGGCTACATAGTGTACAAATATCGGTAATGTGACTATTTGAGAAAAGTCGCTGAGTTTTATTACGCGCTTAAGCAGACGACTTCTAACTCACGACCTATCATCGTGGCGAAATTTATCAAGAACAATATGCCCATGCTAAAAATATTGCAGCTTTGGATTCTATCGAGAGACATGTCGGGCCATAATGTTATTGCGGGAACGGTTGTCTCTAGATATTAAGTGGGTAAAATCGTGATTTTAAGTCAAACTAAGTCAATCGAACTTTTTTCTATTACTAGGCTGTTTTTATCGCTTTGTTAAGATTATCTACAACTTTTTTTTTTTTTTTTCGATTGTATTTGTAACTCTAGTTGCAAATTTTTTATTGTCGAAACAATTAAACTTATCTGCCTTAAAGTTACCTAACAGTGAGAAATTGTTCGTTCTAATTGATAAGTCTTAGCAATTATTTTAGTATTAGCTCCCAAGGGCTATTCGAAGAAAGCATATGGACTCATTAATAAAAAAAAATAGCACATGCTAATTATAGTGGGCTTTGCTAAGGCAAAGCACGCTTTCGCAGCCGATTTACTATGGTATTAATCCTTGAGATCACAAATTTAACTGTGACTTATTTAGCAAAAAATAGCTGATATCTGATGTCTGCTTCCGAACTGAGTAGGCTATATTTACGTAGTTGTAGACAGAAATGCAAAAACTACAGTTATCAGGCCGTTGTCGAACTTGCGTGAAGAACGCTACCGTTGATTTTTCAACGCCTTCAGCTGTTTCTTCTGTGCGAATATGTTCTCAAGTGAAACATTAAGGATTTGCCCCCATCAGAAGGTCGAGCCGGGGAAGGTCTTGCAGGACGTATCTGGTGAGTTATTGTTCAATAGGCTATGCACCGATAATAGATAGCATTTCCTTTTTTTAGTCCAAATAGGACTGCAATCTTCAATATTTAGGTATCGACGCTTTGCGAAGACGAGAAGGTGACAAAGTACGCACCTTCTGCACGTCCCAAACCCGACCTGCCCATTATGACCCTTTGTACGAAAGTTATCTACCATACTTCACTACCCGAGACCTTGAATAATATTAATTAAATTAGAGAATGACCTCGACGATGAGGTTCACGCGATTTGCGTGAAAGTTATTTTTAAGTTACAGTGATAATCGTGTAGAATAATATGAAATCTAGGCAAAATGACTATCAAGCACAGCCAAAAGCTCTAGGGATCTTGTGTAGGAATCTTTCATACCCATTGGATTGTTCTTAAACGAAACATTAAAACAGTCTGAAAAATCGCCAGAGAAGGGGCACGACCTAGGAGAGCATCAAGGAAACGACCAGTACCTGAGAAATCCAAAAAGAACGATTATCGGAACGGAGCTGCTGGAAATCTACTCAGGGACTATACGCGACGCGATAATTCGTTAAAAGAGCATTAATTCGAATTTGATCGGATGCCTCTCGTAGAAGGTTCGAATAAGAGCTACAAGATTCAGACAAGCAATCCATCCAAAGGATGGGGTTTCATATCATCGCCAACAACAATTACTACTTAAAATGCTAAATCGTTACTTTTTTTTGCTAAAGCTGCAGGTATGATAGATTATTTTTCATGTCTAGATTGGTTTTCTATGAAATGTTCCGCGATGGAACACGTGTTTTCGATCTGAACCCGAATGCTGTTACCAATAGCCTTGTCATCGTGGGGTTTATTGATGTCGTTGTTCCTCGAATGAGGTCTTAACGCCTGTAGCGATAAAACCTTAACGAAGAACGTTGGAGGTACATTCGCAGAGCGGGCTATAATAAGCTATTCAAGCAAAGGCAATCTTCTGCAACTGCATCGTTCAGTGGACAAAAGTCTTAAACCAATACATTTCAGAGTAAACATAAGCAATTGCTGAAATCACTCATTCGCTGTTGCCTGACGTTGAACGCGCAGCGATATCTTATTACTATCCCTCTCATTATTAGCTTTGCGCTCTAAAAAATGCAAAGTATTTTCTCTTTGTGAATCAGAACTTCTCTACTAACAAAGCTTTATTTTAACTTAATTCTGTATAGAATATCCTCTTCTAGATCGACCAAGTAGCATCGATCATTGTAGGAGTGCCTACAGATCACTCGAAAGATCGAGCATTTACAGGAAGGTATTAAAATAATCATTTTTCCCTTGGGTAAACTCGCGCTACTCGTACATCATGAGGAACATCTGTTTGCTGCTCGACAGGGTTGAAATAGCTTCTTGCAGTACATTTACTAATGACGAACGATTCGTTTAGCATTTAGTTGTAACATACAGGGACACTCTCGAAAGGGACCGGACTACGCTGAATTAAGTGTGTTTTTAATAATTAAAAACTTTTTCATAAACATATAAGAAGGTATCTTTTTAGCAAATTACTTACACTACCTAAATTATAGGTTGCCGAAAAGCTACTGGCCGTTTTATGCTAAAATTGAAGCAAATCTTGAAAATAATATTGCTAAAGCAAATATGCGCCATTTTGACCCGCCATCTCCTGCCATTTTTTGATAACACCATAATTTCGGCATCGTAGAACTTCTGCGGCCACTGGGCAAAAACTGTAACTAATAATTTTTGCACTTCTCCATTGAAATTGAGTGAACATCATTAGAAGTGTTCTGCAAGTGCAGGTGTAAAATCCGGCCTATACGACAGGTGTACTAAATGTCCTAAACACTTTACCGGGAAGATCGAGATGTATTAGGCCTGACATTTTCGTAGCGAAAGCTTTTTCTGTTCATTAGTTTCGATCGATTTCTTTGAATCGCTTGCTGTAGCACTATTAGTTATTGGCTGTGAAGTTTTTTTTTTTTTGTGAAGATCTGCCGATTGGAAGACAGCAACTCACTATTCGTTTCTACTAAATAGATAGCATCACCTTCTTTGGCATCAGTGTGGGTTTTATCCCAAATTGTAAAGCACATTTTTAATTTATACTCATTTAGACATTATTGTTCTATGTGATCCATCTTTCATCACCCATAATCATCCGCCCTAGAAATGGTTCAGTTGTATTGCATTTCTGTGAAGTTTCACAAATGTTATTATGATCGAGTAAATTTCTTTGTCTCAATTCTTGTGGTACTCAAACATCAAGTGTTTTGTCGTCAGCTTTTTCAAGTGGTCTAAAACGGTTCGGTGATAGATATTCGGTCCGTCGACAATGTTATAGCTGCCCACGTGTCGGTCTTGCTCAGCTAGCGCAATAATTTTACCAAGTTTTCTCAAGAAGGATCGACCATTACGAGAAGCATCTTCAACACCGAAATTTCCAGAATGAAGAAAAACAGAATCATCATGGCGTCATTTCTTCCAATAATGCACCTTGACCATAAGTAGCATAATTTTTTTTTATGGGCCTTAGAAGCTTGTCCGCCTTTATCGTAATAAAATTCTAATATATAGCGAATTTTTACAGAAATTTCGCTCTTCGTCAAGACGAACTATATTAAGTTTGAATGAAACCATTCCAACGATCTTAGCACGTCTACCGCTGCCAAATCTTAGCTCTCAAAGGGCAGCAATGGCACTTCCCTGACACGGATCATATAACCTGAACTATGTGACTCTGAAGTTATCTAGCCAGAAAAACGCTTGATACCATGTCGGCGATCCGCTACATGTTTCGAACTTCGCCTCCGGTACTGCCGTTAAGCCGTGCTTCAGACGGTTAGCGCATTTTAGCACAAAACCCAATATGCCGGTGTTCGGCTTCGAAGCTAGTTCAGTTACATGTCCTCGCGTTTTATGGGCAGACGCGTAAGCACTGAGCCATCACGGAAACGGCCCACCTTACCTATGTACGCATTATTTCACAATTAACTTATTTGAAATATCGAATGCCCTATGAGTGAAGGAACGATGGAAGTATTATCCATTCGTCTAGCGTTTCAGTAAACGAGCGCAAAGATGCTACTGAAAAATGGGTTTAGACTGTGTGTAGAAGTACCGTGTGTCATATCGAGACGCTCGAACGTCACATTAAAAGATACAGCTTTTATTGACACCGTTAGCTCAAGAAACAATATATAGAAAACATCAAAAAAAGATAATATTGCATCTAAAGTAGACATACACTTATGTCAGAACTGAAAAGCTAGTAGTAGATACACCACGTTATTCCCATAGTTAAGGACTAAGTAGAAATCACATAGTTTCACGCCATCGGCCGCCACAAACCCAAGGGCACAATAAAGAAATCAGCTAGTGTCAGCGGTCAGTTTTTATACGAGATCTGACTTCGCTGCTATGAATGTCATTCTGATGCAAAAGCGGATGCTCCGCAAGCAATTCCAGCTAATGATAGCTGGTCAGTTATTACGACAGGTTTCGTGTGTGTTAGTAG